GTGGGTGTGGGTGTGGGTGTGGGTGTGGGTGTGGGTGTGGGTGTGGGGTGTGGGGTGTGGGTGTGAGTGTGAGTGTGCGTGTGGTTATGGGTGTGCGTGTGGGTATGAGAGAGAAAGAGAAGATAAAAACCCATCTCAACACCCACACCCCACACCCACACCCTTGTTATTAATAACAAAAAATAACAATAACTTCTCACCCCTAGTTCTAAATGATGGATAGAAGGTGCACCTTAAAGGAACAACTAATCTAGTTCTAAAGTTCGCTTAAAAAATTCTTCTGTTAAAGTGAAAATAGTCTGCTACTAAATGATACTCGATTTCTTTCTCAGAGGTATGATGGAAAAAGATAGAAAGGAAAAATTTTGAAAGAAAAAAATGTCGAAAATAAAAATATCGAAAACGAAAATAATACAAATGTTGATGGATAGAAATGTTGAAAACGAGAGTGTATTGAAGTACAAATCTCCCACACCCTCAACTTCAGTCTTACGTGTTCATCTTCACCTCATATTCTTGTTTCCGATATTTTTCCTTTCTACCTTTTTCCATCCATTCCCAGTTCATTTATATGAAGACATACCAAAGTAAAATTGTATGAAAAGACTCGTCAAAAATTGAAGAACTCAAATATCTGAACCACTTAATAACCCGAAGTGATTAAAAAAGAAATTTTGCGTAATGTTTTTCTGGGAATAGAAGATAGGTTACATTTTTGTATTTCGATTCTAAGTCTTAACTTTAAGCAATACTTCTGAAGTTTGTCTTTAGAAATAAAAACTCGGTGTATCTACCTATTATTTAGAATAACAATAGTTGATAAAGTGAAATTAAATAGCAAAGATATACAAAAAGTTTAACTGGAAGGGACTTTTGGGACACTCGATATAACTATAATATTGGATCATGTTTTCATCTATGTGCAGTTTTGTTTTTGGTTGTTTCTTCGTTCTTCTCTTATATTTTCTTTCTTCTTTCGTCTTTCTTTTCTCGTCTCTTCGAATATTTAATCCTTCATAAATATGGTACACGTTGTCTATCATAAGCAATAGTAGTAGAATAAAAAAAAATATCAAACAAGCACAGCAGCTTTTTATTTCATCAATACACGATTATATTTCACATACTCAAGAAACGAACTGGATGGGTGTCTTAATATATATTTATATATATCTATGTGTGAAGCACCAGCTGGTTAAAAGAGACGAGAAATGAAAGAAGAAAGGAAAGATAAGAGAAGAACAAAGAAACAATCAAAAACAAAAATGCACATGGATGAAAACATGATCCAATATTATAGTTACTAGCGAGAGCCCGTGTATACTGCACGAATGCTTTTTTCCTATAAAGTTTCACATCTGTCATTTAGCCTTGACTCGGTAATAGATAATTAGACAGTTGGCATTATATACAGTAGTGGTCAAAATTATAAGAACAGACACTTTCTTAGTATATTTGTTTTATTTTCATTTACATTTTTCCTAGTTGCAATGACTTTTGCATCTAGACGTATGCATTGAGATGTGGTCTATCCAAAACTGAGATTTGATTTCCTTGTTTCGAATGTTAAGCTTGAGATACTGCATGTTTATTAAAAATCATGGTTTTTTGCGTGGTCAAAATTATAAGAACAAAGCAGTATTTTCTTTTTTCTATTTCAGAGAGACAACATTTTGATCCGAATATGATATAGATAGATAGAGGAACTCATTCTAAACACTTTCGTAAAAAAAAATTTTAAAATTGGTTTATGTTTGGATTTAAAATTGGATTTTAGTGTTCAAGCAAAATTAGCTGAAAATGGCTGAAAAATGTTACTCTCGTGCACATTTTTGGCTACACAAACTAAAATGTAGTCGGTATCGCTTTTTTCAGATGTGTGATGTATAGAGGCGATTTTACGCTACAAAATGAAAGGTTTTCAAGCTTCGAAAGTCTGTTTTCTAAAAGGATAATGGTATTTTAAAAACGACTACAGCAAAAAGTGTGAAAAATGGCTTGAAATTGTCGTTTTTTGCTGCATTCATTTTTAAAATACTATTATCTTTTTAGAAAATAGACTTACAAAGCTTGAAAACCTTTCATTTTGTAGCGTAAAATCGCCTCTATACATCACACATCTGAAAAAAGCGATACCGACTACATTTTAGTTTGTGTAGCCAAAAATGTGCACGAGAGTAACATTTTTCAGCCATTTTCAGCTAATTTTGCTTGAACACTAAAATCCAATTTTAAATCCAAACATAAACCAATTTTAAAATTTTTTTTTACGAAAGTGTTTAGAATGAGTTCCTCTATCTATCTATATCATATTCGGATCAAAATGTTGTCTCTCTGAAATAGAAAAAAGAAAATACTGCTTTGTTCTTATAATTTTGACCACGCAAAAAACCATGATTTTTAATAAACATGCAGTATCTCAAGCTTAACATTCGAAACAAGGAAATCAAATCTCAGTTTTGGATAGACCACATCTCAATGCATACGTCTAGATGCAAAAGTCATTGCAACTAGGAAAAATGTAAATGAAAATAAAACAAATATACTAAGAAAGTGTCTGTTCTTATAATTTTGACCACTACTGTATATAGAGAGACCCAAGGGGGAAAAAGCGAGACTTCATCTACTTCAAAAAATATTTGAAGCACGGTTGAAGTACAGTGAAGTACAACTGAAGTACAAGTGAAGTACAGTGAAGTACGAGTGAAGTACGGTGAAGTACGTGAAGTACAAGTGAAGTACAAGTGAAGTACAAGTGAAGTACAAGTGAAGTACCGTGAAGTACGAGTGAAGTACGTGTGAAGTACAGTGAAGTATGAAGTCTTACTTTTTCCCTCTTGCTATCACCCCATAAAAAAAGAAAATTTTCTCAAGTCTTCTATAAGAAAAGCTGTTAGCGCAATCGGTTGCGGGATTAAAAGTGTGAAACGCGATGGACCTATTGTTACTAATAAAATGGAAATGCTTTTGTTCCATTTCCTTACGACACATTTGTAGCTGACCGTATATCTGATGCTTTATAACTACAATTTCTGTGTCACGGTCTGTGATGGGTACTCGGGTTCTCTGTCACGGTCTGTGATGGGTACCCGGATTCTCTGTCACGGTCTGTGATGGGCACTCAGGGTTCTCTGTCACAGTCTGCGATGGGTACCCAGGTTCTCTGTCACGATCTGTGATGGGTATGGAATTTCTCTGTCACGGTCTGTGGGGCGGGAGGGGGGATGGGTCCAAATTTCTACCCCTAAACACTTCAACACTCCTTTCAGATCGTGTTTCACAAAATAAGGTGCCTCCACCACTACTTTTGAGTACCCCTAAGTATTACTTATCAAATAATTTTAAAATGTGTCAAGAAAAGATACGGTTTAATTGCGCATTAATTTTACGAGATTTTTCTTTTCTTTTCACTTACTTTTTTATTTGTGCACGTTTACTTCTTTAAATTTTCAAAATTTTTCATTTGATTTTCAGATGACAAGAAGAAATAATAGATATAGTTAAGGCCTACCTTAATTTTATTCTTTATTGGTGACCAAGAAAAGACTAACTATATCTACTTATAGATCTTCATAACTCACGGCACTTCAACAAGAATCACTTATCCACCAGTTACAATAGATAAACGATTAACCTTCACTTCATCATGTGGAATCAATCCTCCGATAATGACATATCTAGTGATTTGTCTACTTTGGTTGACGATTTGACCCATTTAGAACTTCAGAAATCATCTGTGTGTTCCACCATCACTTCTCCTACCACATCTGTTGCGTCATCAGCAGAAGTTGATGAGGCTACCACTCTTCTTAATTCCATCTCATCGTATTTCTCCGTAAAACCAACAAAGTATGGTGGTCGTGGGTGTTTTGCCAATACTGATCTTGCTCAAGGTACAATTGTTCATGAATGTTCTATGCCACTTAGTTCAACTATTGCTCGACCTTTTAGAAAAGAAGTTTGTGGGTCTTGTTTCGAATTTTTACACGGTAAAACTTTAAAATTTAAATTGATGTCACGAAAGAATAAGCAAAATAATTCTACGTATGCTTCGGCATCTGATTGTTCAATAGCACTTTATTTCTGTTCCCAACCTTGTATGGACAAGTTTATTGCTTTGGATATAGATGATTTATACCGGGAAAGTTTATTGAATGTGGAAAGTCTTTTCATTAAAGGATTGAATCAATGTCAATATGATCTTGAAAGGAAGAAACAACAAGAAGAAGCAGAAACAGAAGCTGAATTAAAATTAGAAAATGAATTAAAACAAGCTAAAGATATTGAAGTATTCATCTCTCAGAAGTGGCAAGAAGCTGAAATTAATTGTCAATTACAATTATCTAAATTAAAACCAAAACAAAGAAAAAGCTTTAATAATTTGATTTATTTAATTCCTAAAATTAATGAAAATGAATATATCGAAATTAAATATATTATTGGAATACTATTTCAAATGTATAAACATGATAATTGTGAAAACAACAAGTTATCATCAGTATCTTTATCCTCAGTGGAACTTCAAATTTTTCAACTTCTTCAATCAAATGATATTGAAAAAATTTGTAAATATCCTTATTTACTTTATTCTTATACTAATAAAATTTATAAATTCTTAAAAATTTCCACATTGGAAAAACTTCAATCATATATTATTCCATCTATAATTCGTTCAATCATTGGTAAAAAATTAACTAATGCCTATGGAATTTGGTCAATTGATGATGAACCAGATGGAAATAAAGAATTCTTTGGATATTCATTATATCCATCAGCTTCATTTTTTAATCATTCATGTAATCCAAATTTAATTAATATCGAAAAGGGAGCAAAAATTATTTTTAAACTTTTAAAAAATATTTAAAAAAATGAAGAATTATGTATAAATTATAGTAATTCTATTAATGATGATTTAGAAATAAGACAAAAAGTTTTAAAAGAATGGTTCTTCGATTGTTTATGTGAACGATGTGTTGAAGAAATGAATTTTAAAAATGCAAAAAAATAAAGAAAAAAAAACTGTATTACATTGGTTATCTAGGGCATCAATTTTCATTATATACTTCTTAAATAATAAGTATACTTGTGAGATATTTTCTTCATTGTTATTTATTTTATTCTATGGTAAAATCATAATCTTTATTAAAAAAGTTTTAAGTTTTAACAATCTTTTATTTCTTTAGCTTTTGATTGATGACATTTTCCCCAATACGTTCTTTTAGGGCATTTTAATGCATAGGCTAAAACTCTACGACAAAATGGTAAATCAACATTTTTAGTTTCATCTTTAAGTTGAGCAATATAAATAACTTTATTATTTTCATTTAATGCTTTTGTAAATTTATTTTCACCATTTCCATCATTCTTTAATAATTCAGATGGTATTGGTAACACACCCACACCCTCGATTCTAGACTCAACACAAACCAGATAGCGAATCCGGACTCGGATTACTCATTGAAAGCTGTATCATCACTTATACTTCGCTAATAATCCGTGGTTTTTGCCCGATGACCAACCTTGAGAGTGGTACCATTGGATAGAGGTCAAAATTCTGCATCGAACGCACTCGGTTCTAGACTCAACACAAGCCGGATAGGGAATCGGGGCTGGAATTACTTTTTTTCTGGAAGTTTTTGCTCGGGAAAAACTGTTTTTTTCGGTTTTATGGTAGGTTTTTGGCCGATGAGCGGGATTGAAAATGGTGGCGTTGGATAGAGCTAGAAATTCTGCACCCAACACAATTTATTGCCAGGTTAACACAAGTCGGAATGCGAATCGGGGGTGGAAAAATCCGAATCTTGTGCTAACTTCCCTTTCGTCGTTCAGTTTCAAATAAGTTCATTTAAAAGAGCAACAAGTTCTGCACAACACTAGACATGAACCAACTGAAACTAAAAAGCATTCATCGATCTTCCAAAAGTGTGACGATTTTTAGGTGAGAAAAAATGAAATGCGTAGATGAATCGTGAGTAAACACATTATCTAGTATTTAACAACTCGATGATCCTTAAGCATCTATACAATATGCCTTGTTTTGGCTGATATTAGGTGTGTTTTCTTAATATTTTACTTCTATTTTTTGAAAAATGCCGTACAGTAACCTATTGGACTTTATTTGATTGAAAATGATAAACAAATTCTTTTTGAATAAGTATGGCAGTAACTTGTATTTCTTCAATCCATCAAAACTTGTGTTTTTCAGAATAATCACATAATTTTGGTCTAAGAAAGTTTCTCAAATGCACATACTTCGCCATACAATGGCTATACTCATACTGGAAATTAGCCAGATTTATAGGTTGCTTTTTGACGAATTCATCAAGTTCTGATTGATTAGGACTCATTGGGTTCTATTTACAGTTTAACAAGTTGCTATCACAATGACATAATGTTACATTATAACTTTACTCATTGTATGGCACTTGTTCCTAGCTTTTTGCGGGGTGTGGATGTGAGGGCGTTGATTAGTAAAATTACTTTATAATAACTACTTATATTTCAAATCAACAGTGCCATTCTATTACAAATGACCGAAGATGCAACTGGCGATTAAAATATGAACTTTTCAAAATGGCAGGTATATAGATACTGATCGAGAGCTGACGAATCTATTACAATCTTTAACTTGATTCAATTATGATAGAACTTTTAGTTCGTTCCAGAAGATCAATAATGGGTCATTGAAGTATGGACCAATCTTGTAGAATATTATTTGAAGCCATACAGTAGCCTAGGTTCTTTCAAACAGTGAAAACCACAGTTCGCCATCTAAAGAATTATACTGCAGAGGAAAATGAAAGGGATTATAACGACTTGTAAAGTACATTTTTCGTTGCTTATCAGTTATATCAATGAAATGAATTTAATCATTTATGCAGTATCGAACGGTATGATAGAACACAAAACGATTCTTGCATTCAGTTTGTAATGGAAGAACATGTGCGTTCACAACACTTATGCTTATTTTCTGTTCTTTCATTCTTCAGCACGAACAAAAACTGTTTGTGATATTTTTCCATTTTGTTATGTTTTATTCTGTTCTGTCGCCAATAAGCTGCTTGCAGCGTTTTTGAAACGAAATATTTTTTTCTAGAGAATCATTCTTGGAAGTTAAAGTAAACTTCATTTTTTTTTGAGTTTCAAAATCCTCGCTATCGATAACAAATGAAAAAAAATGGAGTTGCCGTAAACAGAAAATTATATTAGCAAATAAATCTATGACTCCATTTTTCAATTCCTGGTTTGAATGACAGCCACCATGGAAATGCTCCAAAGTAAAGCTTTCCAACAGCATTCAAGCTTCACATGTGAATCTTCGCTCAAAAGAAATGAAAGATTACGTAAGCCCATTTTTTCGTTTGATTAAGTGGCGTAAGATTTGCCTCATTTGACACAATTTTCTTTCTATTCTAACATCTATATATCTATATATATAAAGAAGAAAGTTTGTTTGTGTGTTTGTTTGTTCTTCATGCATTTGGACACGGTACGAGCAAATGCAATGAAATTTTGCAGGAATCATCCTCTCATCCAGGAAGAGGTCAACGACTACTTTTTGTCGAAAAAACATCGGTCCTCTACCTGCAACAGGCCTGCCTATGTATCTGACCAATGAGATTGCAGCATTCGGTAGTATCGGAGAACTACTGAGCAACACGTTGTAAGCAAGCACAAGGCATGTACCTAAGGTTTTCGAGGGTGCTGAGCTCGAATCTGCGGTTCATTTGCCTCGAAATCTGATTGGTTGGCCGAAAATCAATAGGAATTCAGCTGCGAAGAAAACAGACAAAAACATCTACACGTTCGGGAAAACGAAGAGATATGAGCTTTTAGAGGCGGTGAGTTCGAATCCGGGGGCCATTCGTCTCGAAATTTTATTGATTGGCCGAAAACCAATAGGAACTCAGTTGCTAAGAAACCAGCTAATCAAAATTGCGTTTTCACGAACACAGTGAGATAGAGGTTTTTAGAGACAGTGAGTTCAAATCTGGGATCCATTCGTCTCGAATTCCTGCTGATTGACCCGAAAACAATAGGGATTCAGCTGCCAAGAAACCAGCTAATCAAACATGAGTTTTCGGGAAAAAAGTCAGGTAGGAGTTTTTAGAGACGTTGAGTTCGAATATAGATCCAATTGCTCTGAAATATAATTGGTTGGCCGAAAACCAATAGGAATTCAGCTGTTAAAGAACCAGTGAATGAAACATGCAGTTTCGGGAAAAAAGTCAGGTAGAGGCTTCCAGAGGCGGTGAGGTCGAATTAGGGATCCAATCACCTCAAAATCTTATTGGTTAGCCCAAAAACAAAAGGAATCGAATTCTTGGAAAAACAAATATCATTGGATGATTGGAGGAAGGACATTAAGAATCGGAAGTTTATTAAGCTCAATACCCTATTGGTGTATCCATGGCCCTACTGTGTGGCCCATGTCATACACAAATCGAGTTTTGGGGAATTTGGTTTCCTAGGAGTCGTGTGAGGCAGGGATTTCGAATAAATAGTCTATAAGACGCAAAATTTGTTCGTCATAGATATCAACTCCTTAGGTTGCTAAATAGTCTGCCCACAAAAATCTTTCTGTCTGTCTTTCTTTGCAACCAATCGGAATTCAGTGTGATTCCAATAGTACAAAGTACTATATATCGTTGTTATTCTCTCAATCAATGGATATTGTGAGTGCAACATTCTAGATCAATTAGATGTGTCGTTGCGCTTAGTTTCGATCAAAACGGATTTTTTTGCAACGCTGTCGAAGAATCGATTGTCCATGTGGGCTTCCCACTAGAAACACAACTAAACAGCTCCGGAACAGGGAACGTGACCAAGCGCGACCGAGGCCAGTTGAGATCGGGGATGATCGAGACAATTATGTGCTCTTATAAATGCTGGACCAAGATAAAAACTCGATAGAACATATAAGTTTCATCAAGCTTTTCTAGATCTAGATGTATAAGAACGAAGAATCCTTCACCTCTGATCAATTTTTCGATATCGGTATTCCATATCTGCCGAGAGCAAGAGTAGCCGAGATCGAGACTTAAAATACGTTCAAGAGCTAAAACCAAGACCTGGATAAAAAATAGGATTTTATAAGTGTTTACTCCCTATTGATTAGGTTTTCTTACATGTTCTCGAGTGCAATAGGAGTTTTGCTTCCATATATTAAGATTAAACCTTCCTGGGTAACTCCGGGTACTTCCGCTAGTAATACATATTCATAATCTGTTAATCGTATTTATGTGGACCTTACATATATTTTTGAAGAAAAACTGAGTGTACTTTAAAATTTACTGTGTCGATCCAGTAAGTCTTTTAACTTAAATTTCGATATGTTTTGGAGATCGTTACATCTACCTTATCGATAAATTCTTGGGTGACAAGCTCGGTATTTGGTTTTCGGCGAATATCTAAAATCCTCTCGAAAATTGGGTAAAACGCCCATCGAAAAGAATTCATTTGGCTTGTTCTTTTTACCATAAGAGAAACGTAGTCCCCCATAACCGTGAAGTACCCTGATAACATTCTCAAATCAGCAATTTAAGACTCCTGATTTCACAAATAAGACCGCTTCTACAATGAGTATCGTTCTCAAGATGAGGAATCGAATGTAGTCAACTATCTGAAGATACAACGAGCCAGATGATCATAAGTGTAACATAAGCTCATCATATACATAGAGCTCTAGAAGATATGAAGTTGTTATTCATGTTCTACTAGTCGTTGTCAACGTTTGAATCACTGAGGAAGGATGTATGTAAAATCTGTATTTCTGATCTCAACTTTCTTTTATGATTTATAAGCGAGGCTTTTCTCATTGATTTCACTTACGGTGTTTCTTGCTTTATCTTACCCATTACTATTTCTCTTTCTTTTGAAATTGACACTATTTTAGATATACTTTCATAATAGACATTCTTTTTGCTTATTTGCTGATTTCTACGAAAATTAACAATCGTACAAACCTTGTCTATTGCACTTACGAAAATCGTAATGGCTAAGAAGGGAGGAAAACAAACAATAGAGTGTGACAATGGTGATATATACGAAGGGGAAGTAAATGACAAAGAAGAGCCCCATGGTAAAGGAATATACAGACACCATAAACTAGATGATGAAGTCCTACAAGGTACTTATGAAGGAGAATGGAAAAATAATGAAAAACATGGAAAAGGAATACATTGTTACAGAAATGGTGATGTCTATGACGGATCATGGATAAATGGCAAGAGGTATGGTCGTGGTAAATACACTTATTATAAAACGACATCATCCGAGTATGATGGTGAATGGGAAAATGATAAAAAAAATGGTAAAGGTATTATGAAGTTTGCTAATGGCGATGTATATGATGGTCATTGGAAAGACAATAATATGGAGTCTGACAAAGCTACCTATACTTATGCGGATGGTTCAAAATATATTGGTAAGTATAGGATGTATAATGACCTTTTAGGGTACAAATAAAAGTTATGTGTAAGTGAAGAGTCAAAAATACGTAACTTCTTCGTTCAGGTTACATTAAAGTAAAAGTGAAATGACATCTAATATTCTGAATTCGAGTATTGTAAAGTTTTTAAAAATCATTACTAGTGTAATCTTTATGAGTTCAAGTCAGAGTTTTAAAGTTAGATGAGAAATTAAAACGAGCACAGTAAACCTAAAAAATACAATGTTCTTATTGGAATTATTTCGTATATTTTTAACAACTTTATTCTTTTTAGGTCCTTTTAAGAACGATAATAAAGATGGGAAAGGCATATTGACATATAAGAATGGTGACAAATACGAAGGCATGTTCGTAAATGGACTAAGAGAAGGAAAAGGTAAATACACGTTTAAAGATGGTGAAATTGTTGAAGGGAATTACAAGAATGATCGACAAGTGAAAGAAAATAATGTTAAACAAAAAACAAAAGCCACTTCCAGTAAGCATGATCGACTAAATGACAATCAATCGAACGCTGCTGTAGAATCGGCAGATTAATCGAGCTCTGTATGAAAACATACTACTCTCACACGTTTTTTTAATTCCTTTTATTTTGAAATACAAGTAACGCTAATCGAGAATCGATTCGCTTAACTGTTGACTCATGTGATGGCGTACGAAAAGAAGTTCAAATGTTTCAGAGATGTGTGGGTATGGGTGTGGGTGTGGGTGTGGGTGTGGGTGCGGGTGTGAGTGTGGGTGTGGGTGTGGGTGTGGGTGTAGGTGTGGGTGTGGGTGTGGGTGTGGGTGTGGGTGTGGGTGTGGGTGTGTGGGTGTG